TGAAAATTAGAAAAAGGAACCTAGTTAGCTCCTGAAATTTACTTTAGTGACCCTCAGTGATACCTCAGCCACTAGAGCACAGAATCCACTAAAGTAAATCCTAGTAGGAAGCAGGCGTGGGGCCCATTACCGCTGCCAAGACAGGATGCGGAGATGAAGGGGCCAAAGAAACTCTACCAGCGGAAACGTTTCCCAGGAAGGGGTATGGTGAAAAGGTGCCATGAAAAGTGGGGTTATTTATAGTCACACAACAAAGGAATGACTTCACTGACACCTCCTATCTGGGAGAAAAGGCATTTCACAGATTTCCTGAAGATCAAGAGACTGTGTCTAATGATTTGCCTGGGAAACAACACGGCCCTCAGCTGACAAGAGGACGCCCTCCTGGCCCCGTTACCCTTGAGGAAACACACCTCCATTTGGAGGGGAAAAAAGGGGAGATGCAGGGAAAGAAAGTCAGAATTAGTAAAGTGAAATTACAAAACTACGTTTAAACAACGGATTATTTATTCAGGACTCAGATGAGTCTAGCCGGAGGCATGAAATACCTTTACAGACTCAACAGCAGATTGAGAGCTTCTCCTTAATCCCTTTGGGAAGAAGGGGATCAAACAGATTCTCTGCTAGATCTGGTCACATACTGCGAGAGACGATGATCTGCTCCTAGGGTTTCCTGGCAACCGACCAGCCCAGGCTGGACACAGGAAGGCTATTTTGCAAACAGGGAGCCCCTGACCCCAGGCGACCCCTCTAGTCTCGCATCAGCACTGAGCCCTGCGGGACCCGCAGCACCGGCACTCACTCTGGGCAACTCTCTGGTCCAGGACTGAATGAATCACAGGACCTCAACAGGAGTGGGACCGCCACAGCCTGGCCTCTACCTCCACCTGAGTTTCCTGGGAGCTGCTCTGACCCCCCAGAAAACATTTTTTAAAAAGTGTTAAGATCCTCTTTCCCTGAGGCTAGCCAAGCAACATGGCTTGATCCTCTTAATTCTGTAGCTCAAAGGTTTCAGCTTCTCCTAAGCGTGGGAAGCAGGGAAGAGAGAGGAAATTCCTAAACACCTAAGAAAGGAATAAAAAATCCACAGGCAACCAGTGCTAACGCTCCAACTAAAGAAAGGAGCTGAATATGGTTAAAGCCTCAGATACCGTCTGGGGTTTACTTTTCTTTTTTCACTTTTTAAAAAATTTAAGTACAGTCAGTTACAGTGCGTCAACTTCTGGTGTGTTTTTCACCTCTTAATGGAGGCACTGAGCACACCAAGCAGGTGTTCTTACCACCCCCCAACAATTCAAATCAAATGAAAACGGTCAGTCATTTACACAAATGCACAAAGACCTCCACAGGGAAAGGGTCTAATTCTCTGAGCTTTCTTCCTTTCCCAACCTGTAAAATGGGGATAATTTCTCCCTCAGAAAAATGTTGTGACAATTAAATAGGTTTACGGTCATTATGAAGCACTAGAGACATGGAATGATGCTCAGACTCTAGGAAGAACTCTTCAGAAACCTTTTACATCCCAAGCGCTCCCGCTTACTCATTACAGACCTCTGCTTACTCCCACAGGTCAAACGCCAGACCAACCTGAATTCCAGAGACCTTACAGGACACAGCGATACATGCAACTGTATAAATACCCTAAACAACTAGAAGAACATACTTGAACTTTCCTAACAGACATTAACATCCTTCACATGAAAAAGGGTTCTTGAGGGGAAGGTATAGCTCAGTGGTAGAGTGCATGCTTAGCATGCATGAAGTCCTGGGTTCAATCCCCAGTACCTCTGTTAAAAATAAATGAAATAAACCTAATTACTCCCCTCTCCAAAAAAAAGAAAAAGTGTTCTTACAAAACAACAAAGACCCAAAAGAAGAGTGAGCAAAAGATATCGACAGCAATTTGCATAAAGAACAGAGGGCCAATAAATACACAAGAAGATGCTCAACTTCACTAAGAAATTGGGGATACACAGAGTAAAATAATACAGCACCTTTACCCACTATCTTAGGGGAAAAAAATCCACCTGAGGAAAATCTGGGACACTAGCATAGGAGTTGGTACTCAACACAGAGCCCCCACCTCTGGCATTTAAGGGTTCCAAAGCATTTTGGTTGCCCCCACCTGTTCAACCTTTAGAAGAATGAGTCAAGAAGCTCTGTCCAGGACACAACATTGTAAAATGATTATAAATTAAAAAAAAAAGTTAAAAAAAAAGAAGCTCTGCCCAGGCAGACAGAGCTCCTGGTTAATTTCTTTTACTGCTTCATTCTTAAATGTGACAGGACAACCAAGAAACACCAACCATTTGTGGGAAGTCTGCAACATGGAAAAGAAAAACGTCAAAGCAAATGAACAGAAAAATAAACATTTCAGAGAATAAAAGAAAATGTGCAAGAACGGTCCTTATCATTCAGAGATCCACAGGCCAAATATTTGTGGATGAAGTGATGTGATTACAGGCACTCCACACACCCTAAACCAGGCCAGAGCCTTGCTTCGGGATTTTTCAAACCGGAGCTATCGTTGGTTCAGGAAGAGGAGGGAGGCGTCGGGTAAGGAAGAGCCCTCCCTCAGAGGGGCTGTGCGTACACGGATGGCCTGGCACTCCTTATGACGGGACAGAAGGAAGCAGAGAGGAGACCCACTCCCTGAGGTACTGGCCATTCAGCTCCTCCCCTGATTCTGTGAGCTCCCCCAGGACCCCCTCTGTAAGCCTCTTTTCTAGCAGACGTGAGCTAAAGATGCAGTTCTGTTCCTGACAATAACACGAGTCCTGCAGTGATTTCATACTTGGTCCAACCCACACTTACTGAGAGGCAGTCACAGGCCAGGCATGGTTCCAGATGCTAGGAAGTACAAGGATGAGAAAGACATAGTCTCTGAGCTCAAGGCAGTCAGTCTACTGTAACCAGAGGCTTAGAGAGTATAACTCAGACAACTCCATCCCACCAGAACTACCTAACATCTCAGAAGGCTGAGATAAGCCAGTAACACCTAACATCTCAGAAGACAAGAACACATTTTAAATAATCTTAGTCAAAACTAGGTTGGCAACATAATCTAAAAGCCTAGACATTTTGAATGACTAACCAGGCTCAGGAACAACAGAAGAAAAGGGGTGCAGAGAGACCACCAACGACGCAAAAGCCAGAACGCGTCACCACCTCAGCAGCAGCGGGAGTCTGACGTCGTGGCCACTTCAGACCCCAACACAATCACTGCTGGTGACGGGACAAACTCGAGACTTAGGAATACCCGGGAAACCATCTAAAAATCTGGGGCTCCAGAACGCCTGCCAGACCCAGCGGACTCAGAAGGCTGGGCGGTGAGGACAACGGAAAGGAAACTTGTCGCCCTGCTGGGATTTCCAAGATCCGCTTCTAGGACGGACCCGTGAAGAACTGGCTCTTCACTAAGCAGCAGGCCCTGCCGGGTCACAGTCCACAACGTCTGCCCAGGAGCCGCCAGGCCTCCCTTTCTCCTGGACTCTGACAGCCACCAAAAGAGGAAAGTCCTCTGGGTCACGTCTCAGCTCAGGAGACTTGCAAACGCGCCGACATCCCCGCAAGACCTGAAGGCCAGGGTCGCAGGGTCACGGCCAGCGATGATGGCAACGTTTACTTCTGATACCAACTGGCTGTTTCCGACGGGGCAGGGACAGGGGTTTACAGATCACTGTGAAGGCGGCGGGGATGAATGGGCCTTTTCACTGCCGTCTGCTCTCCAGCCTTTTGCAGGGAGACGTGGGAAGCAACAAAGGAGAGATTTATCACCACGAGCCCGCTCAGCAGCTGTTTTCTTATTGTCCCTTGTTTAACTTCTCTCAAGAGAGCAGAGTTATCTCCCCGGCTAAGCAGGTGTTTAAGGCAGGTGATTTTGTTTCCATCAGTTTTCTGAAGTCATGGTAAACCAGACTAGGGGGTTACGTCATGTGGGGAAACCAGAACCCTGTGCCGCTGGATCACGGGGTGGGCGTGTGCGGCAGGGGGGACGGAGGCTTCTGCTCCCTGCTGGTCTCACCCCCACATCTCTAATTCCAAGAGTAAGCAGTTTAAGAGTCTCTGCCCATCCCCCGCCCCCAACATCATGTCCTCTTTACCAGAGGAAAGTGAGGTTGGAGGCTTTCAGGAAAAACCAGACTAAGAAAAGCATTATCTTCGACATCCAAATAAATCATCACATTAATGACAACACTCAGTTTCACGTTTCAAGCTACTGTGGCGGGGGTGGGAGGATGCATACAACATGAACACACCTTTGTTTTCATCTTAAAGCTTAAGGCTTCCCAAACCTGTGAATTTATCACCCAGCGCTGGATGGACTTACCGATCCTCTCTGGGGTCTCCTCTGTGCCAAGACCCCCAGTGAGTGCCTTCCTCCTGCCCCACAGCCATCTCATCACCTTCAAAAAGGAACTTCTCTCCCATTGCAGACAGCCAGTCCTCACTGGCACATCCCTCCCACAGATGGCCCCGGCTCATGATGACTCGACTTACGACTTCTCCACTTGATGGTGCGAAAGTGGCATGCATTCAATAGAAACTCTACTTCAAATTTCGAATTTGGTCTTTGCCTGGCCGAACAATCCATGGTCCCGTATGCTCTCATGACACTGGGCAGCGAGCGGGAGCTCCCAGGAGAACCCCACTGCAAGGTGAACCACGAATACACCTACATCCCTTTTCAACCTGCACAGCCTCTGTTTCACCTCCAGGACAGTATTCAGTAAATTACATGAGACAGTCAATGCTTCATGATAAAACAGCCTTTCTGTGAGACAATGTGGCCCAACTGTAGACTCATGAGAGCGTTCTGAGCACGTCTGATGTGGGCGAGGCTATGTTACCATGTTCTAGGAGGTCAGATGTATTAAATGTATTTCTGACAGACAATATTGTCAACTTATGATGGGTTTAGTGGGACTTAACCCCACCGTCACAGGAAGATCTGTACTAGACAAAATCCTGAAGATTTTATGCTTTAGTCCTTTGCTTACCTTTAATTTTCTCCTACTGCAGAGCCATTAGCACAAGGAGCAAACATTCGGTGACACATTTCTTTCTCTTTGTCTGTGTAGTCCCTGTAGTAGCTGCAGGGAGAAACAGACAGCAGTGAGAGAAGGTCTGTCTTTGTAGGAGGTGACATCTGGTGGCTGGACTCTCTGCTTAGGTCCAGGAACGCTGGAACCGAACTGGGAGGGGATGGAAGCAATGCTGGAGATGGGGCTGGAGTGGAGAAACCCTCGGACAAAAAGCCCACGGTCTGAAAAGACGGCGGCCTGGAATGCCTGGAGCCACCGTCGGCGAGGCTGCAGGCCGAGTCTCACCGAGTGACTCCTCACACTCAGCAGCCTCTAACTTATCTTGAGATTTTTCTTGCTAAAGAATGGTCAGATTCCAAAATTTCTACATCTAACTTGACAGGATATTTACAAATACCAGAAAGGAAATGGCCAGAAAGCCTTAAAGACCTGAAATGCAACAATCAGATCCAAATATAAGAGGTACATACATCTCAGACTTTTTTTTTAATGTCAAAAAAGCTTTGACTAGCAATTTGGATTAAACGTTTAAAAACGTTAACAGGAGTAGAGAATCTCACCAATACAGAGGGACAAAAGAACACCTAAGAAAACCAACAGTGGCTATAATATGAGGTGATGGAGTTATGGATGATAATTATTATATGTCAATATTTTCAAAGTTTTCTACAATGAACATATAATTTCTATAATCAGAAAAAGTTACATTACTGAAAAATTGGTATAACAATCACTTGGGTAACAAGAGAGTCACCCTAAGGGTCTGACTCAGACCTGAAAGGCCCAGTTCAGATCAAATCAGCATCTGTAAGACTGCTTCCTGAGGTCCAGTGACAGCAGCAGTTCCCGGTTGGTGGCAGGTAGGGAAGAGTATCTGAAGAACATCGTCCTTTCTAAAAAGCCACACTGACCACCTCTTCAGGGTGCTGACCAGTGCGGAGGACAAGGAGGTGGGCAATGGTCCAGACAGGTGTGGTCCTGCCTCCTTGGGGAGCTGCAGGTTTCGAGCAGTGAGCACTTCATAAAGTTGGCACTAGGGGGCGCTGCCTCCTAACACGTGAGGGCAACATCGCCCCGTCATCTACCCGACTGGCCAGGCCAGAACGACAGCCACATCATACAGTGCCTTGTCTGTGTGCGCTCCGGCAAATAGAGGTCGTACCTGGCCAGTTTCTTCAGCTCGTTGTTGATGTCATGATTGAAGGGCTGTTCCTTCTGGGCTCGGACTAGAAAATCCCGGGCCTTCTGATACTCAGTCATGAGGAGACAGGCCTGTCAAAGGACAGAATTTTAAAAGCACCCTTTAGGGAAGACAGCACTTTCACAGTGCCCAAGGTGGACACCACTGCTGCCTTTCCTTGGGCATTCACTCCCAAGTCCCTGCCCTCCCACTCACCTGTCCACACCGGAAGAGGGCCTTGGCATTCTTCTGGTCAATGACCAGAGCTTGCTCTCCATAGCGCAGGGCCGTGGTGGGTCGCTCCAGCTTCAGGTATGTAAAGGACAGGTTAAGGAGAACAAGGAGCGTGGCGGTCTCCACCAGGTGCTGCTCCTCAGAGGAGGCTGACCGCCGGCGGAGAAGCACCAAGGCCTATGGAGGGGAAGACAGGGGGTCAGGAGGAGGTGGTCTTATGTAGAGAAAATGCTAAGAATCCACACACATGCCAAAGACTATTAGAGCTGAAATGAGTTCAGCAAAGTTGCAGGGCACACGATCAATATATTAGAGTTAGTTGTATTTCTTTACTCTGGCACTAAACAATCCAAAAACGAAATAAAGAAAGTAACTCCCTTTATAACAGCATCAAAAGAATAAAAGGGCAATAAATCCAAAGTGCAAGACTAATAGGCTGAAAACTAAAAAACTTTGTTGAAAGAAATTAAAGAAGACCTAAATAAATGGAAAGATAGCTCATGTTCATGGATCAGAAGATTAATATTGTTAAGATACCCCAAACTGATCTATACTTTCAGTGCAACCACTACCAAAACTTCAACAGCCATTTTTTACAAAAATGGTCAGGCTGATTTGAAAATTCATATGGAAATTCGAGGGACCCCAAACAGCCAAAACAACATTTTTAAAAAAGAGAGAGGGAGAGAACAAGGTTGGAAGACTCACATTTTCTAATTTCAAAACTTACTACCAAGCCAGTGTGGTTCCCATAAGGTCACATACGTGGATGAGTGGGACAGACCCTACAACGCAGGCTGAGGGTCCAGAAACAAGCCCACACATCTAGAGCCAACTCATTTTCAACAGGGTGCCGACACCGCTTGATGGAGGAGTAGCCTTTTCAACCAATGGTACCTCAATAAATGGATGTCAACATGAGAAAGAATGATGTTGGATTCCTACCTCATACAACTTACAAAAATTAACTCAAAATGGACCACAGATTTAAACATAAGAGCTCACCTGTAAGATGCTTAGAAGAAAACACAGGTGTAAATCTCTGTGGCCTCAGATTAATTATGACACCCAAAGCACAAATGTTTGCAGATCATATTTGATAAGGTCTAGAATCCATAAGGAATTTTTACAATTCAACAATAAAGAACCAAATTAAAAGTGGGCAAAGGGTTTGAATAAACATTTCTGCAAAGAAGGTATACAAATGGCAAATAAACACATGAAAAGACATTCAACATCATCAGTCATCAGAAAAATGCAAAATCAAAATCACAATGAGATATCACTTCACACCCGCTAGGATAATTTTTTAAAAATGGAAAATAAGCGTTGGTGAGGATGTGGAGGAACTGGAATCCGCGTACTGCTGGTAGGAATGTGAGAAGTTGCAGTCATCATGGAAATATGACCCAGAAATCGCACTTCTAGGTACATCCCTAAGAAAACAGAAAACTAAGTCTACACAGAAAAACTTGTACACAAATGTTCATAGCAACATTATGCTAACTCACAACAGCCCCAAAGTGGAAACAGCCCAAATGTCCACCAACTGATGAACAAATAAACGGCAGCAAGATTCACACAACACAGTGTGTTATTCAGCCATAAAAAGGAATGAAGTGCTGACAGCTGCTACAACATGGATGAACCTTGAAAACATTATGCTCAGTGAAAGAAGCCAGTCACAAAAGGATAAACTACATGATTTCACCGATTGAAGTGTCCACAGTAGGCAAGTTCACAGAGACAGAAAGTAGAACAGAGGCTACCAGGAGCTGGGGGAAGGGGAAACGGGGAGCTACTGTTTAACAGGTAAAGAACTTGAGTTTGAAGTCATGAAAAAGTTCTGGAAATAGGTAGTGGTGATGGTTGTGCAATGTTGTGAATGTTCTTGATGCCACAGCATTGTACGCCTAAAAATGCTTAAAATGGTAAATTTTATGTTATGCGTATCTTAACCACAATTTAAAAATATATATATACATTTTAAAAGGAATAAAGTGCTAATACAAGCTACCACATGGATGAACCCTGAAAACATTTGGCTCAGTGAAAGCAGCCAGACACAAAGGACAGCATATCTGACAATTGTCTCTATGTGACAAGTCCCAGACAGGCAAGTCCATAAAGAGGGGAAGCAAAACAGGGATTACCAGGGCGCGGGAGGGAACGGTGAGTAACTGCTAGTGGGTATGGGGTTTCTTTCTGGATGAGATGTTCAGGAAGGAGACAGTGGTAACAGCCACACGACCCTGGGAATATACTAGCACCACTAACCTGTACACTTAAGTGGGAACTTTATGGGATGTGAGTTATATCTCACCAATAATAAATACATGGTTCTGGGAAAACTGGACAGCTACATGCAAAATACTCAAACTGGACTACTTTCTCACACCATACACAAACATTCAAAATGGATTCAAGATTTAAAATGACCTGAAACCATAAAATTTCTAGAAGAAAACTTGGCAATATATTCTTTCACATCGCTCTAAGTAACTTCTTTTTGGATATGCCTCTTCAGGCAAGGGAAACAAGAGCACAAATAAACAAATGGGACTACATCAAATTAAAAAGCTCTGGCTCAGCAAAGGAAACTACCAACAAAAAGAAAAAGCTGCCAATGAACAGGAGAAGGTATCTGCAAACAATACATCCAATATAGAAAATACATAAAGAACTACAACTCAACAGCAAAAAACCCAAATAATCTGATTAAAAAATGGGCAGAAGATCCAAACAGACATTTTTCCAAAGAAGACATGAAGATGGCCAACAGGCACATGAAAGGATGCTCAACATCACTAATCGTCAGGGAAATGCAAATCAAAACCACAATGAGATACCACCTCACACCTGTCAGAATGGCTGTTATCAAAAAGACAACAAACAACAAGGGTTGCCGAGGAGCTGGAGAAAGGGAACCCTCCTATACTGTTGGTGGGAATGTAAATTGGTGCAGCCACTACAGAAAACAGTAAGGAGGTTACTCATGAAATTAAAAATAGAACCACTATATGATCCAGCAATTCCACTCCTAGGTGTTGACCTGAAGAAAACGAAAACACCAATTTGAAAAGATATATGCATCCCAATGTTCATAACAGCATTATTTACAATAGTCAAGATATGGAAGCAACCTAAGTGCCCAAAAATAGTTGAATGGATAGAGAAAATGGGTATATACACACAATGGAATATTATTCAGCCATAAAAAACGAACTCTTGCCATTTGTGACAACATGGATGGACCGAGGGAGTTATTATGTGAAGTGAAATAAGACAAAGAAAGGTACTGTATGACTTCACACATATGCAGAATCTGAAAAGCAAATGGACAAACACAACCCAACAGAAACAGAGTCACAGATACAGAGAGCAAACATGTGGTTGCCAGAGGGGAGGGGTAGGAGAAGGAGAGAAAAAGATGAGGGAGACGAAGAGGTACAAACTTCTAGTTGCAAAATAAATGAATCATGGGTACGGAATGTGCAGTGTGGGGAACACAGTCAATAACTATATAATATCTTTGTATTCTGACGGTAACTAAGCTTACCAAGATCATTTTGAAATGTACAGAAATAACAAATCACTATGTTATGTAATAGAAAGTAACATAGTGCTGTAGGTCAACTATACTTCAGAAACAAATTCATAGGAAAAGGTCAAATTCGTGGTTACCAGAGGCAAGGTAGGGGGAGTTGGAGGAAGGTAGTCAAAACATACAAACTTCCAGTTATAATATAAGTGTTAGGATGTAATGCACAGCATGATGAATATAATTACTACAGCTTATGTTATATACGAAAGTTAAGAGAGTAAATCCTAAGAATTCTCATCACAAGGAAAAATACATTTCTTTTCTACTTCTTTAACTTTGTATCTATATGATGATGGGTGCCCCTGAACTTACTGTGCTAATTATTTCATGATATATGTTAAGTCAATCACTATGCAGTACACCTTAAACTTACACAGTGCTGTATGTCAATTATATCTCTATAAAACTAGAAAAAAATTACACACAAATAGCACTGTAAAATTTAAGAATACCAGAGGAAAAAAGATCCTTAAAATCTCTACAGAGAAAAAAATTAGGTCACATATAAAGGAAGAGAAAGGTAAATGGTATTAGAATTAATAGCAATTATAATCATAAATCAAAAACACAATAGAGTCACAAAAACCAAAAAGAAGAGAAATCAAGCATAATACAAAAGAAAACCATCAAACCACAAAAGGAAAAACAAAAAGAAAGGAACAAAGAAGAAATACAAAATCAACCAACTGGAAAACAAGGTTGAAAATGGTAATAAATACATTATCTATCAATAATTACTTTAAATGTCAATGAACCAAATGTGCCAATAAAAAGACAAGAGTGGCAAATCAGAAAATAAAACAAGAGCCTGCAAGGTGCTGCCTCCCAGAGACCACATTAGGGCAAAGGAAGCACACAGACTGAAAGTGAGGGAATGGAAAAAGATATTTCAGGCAAATGAAAAGACTTGGTTGCAATTATAAATGCAAGAATAGAACAATACTGTTCCTCAAAATCTGAGGGACGGCGACTGTATCCTATAATTCCTCACTCAGTTATGCTACCTGTTTAGTGGGAGGTCTACCTTTAGATGTGTAAGGCTTTTTATGGGAAAGTTTTTTTTTCCCCCAAGTGAGCAGGCTTGTTCTCAAGAGGCCGTGATTCAACCTAATCGTAAGCCCAAACCTGGACCTTCCAAGCTTAGGACCCTGGCCTTGTCCGCATGGCGGATGCTGTCAGCCGCCCACCCAGCATCTATTTCCCTCCTCTCCTAACAGAGCCTCCATCTCAGTCAATGCAGCAACGTACTAATGAAACAACGTCCCCCAGCGCCCTATACAAGTACAGCTAAGGGTGTGCATTTACCACGGCTCTGCCCAAGAAGAGATGAAGGGTGGGGGGACTTCTGGAAAGCTCTTAACATTAACAAACATGCTGGACTCTTCTCCCCTCCCTTCTTCCTGCTCAGGTGACTGTGTGATGCTGCAGGCTGACTGATCAACTTGAGAGTAAAAAGACAAAGACATTTAAGGGCAGCTGACCCTGGGTATCTGGGCATCTGGGCATCTGGAATCTGGATCTGATGGCTTTGTGGAACTGCCATGCCAGCTTTTGACTGCCTGCCTTTCTGTGTGAGTGAAAACTAAGCCTCTAGTTTATTTGCGGTACTGTTTTTCAGGATTCTGTGGCTTACAGCTGAATGCAAACCCTGAACGTTTAGGCTCAATATGCAAGTGAGACAAATCAGAATGTCCCTATACTCTAAACTCTAGAACCAAGGGCACAATGCGCTCATGACAGTTGCTGAATGCGTTACAAAGCAAATGGCAAATTTCTGCCAGTAAGACCTCCACAAGAACCCAAATCACAATCAGAAGCTTGGTGAGAATGCAGTGAGAGAGTTAGATAAATTTTCACTGTATGAAGAAGACAAATGGGGTGGAGAATTCAGTTGGCAGGGGACCCAAAGCCAGAATGAGAATCTTAAAAATCTTTTCATTGAAATACACACATACAGGTAAGTACAAAAACAAGTGTCCAGCTCAATGAATTTTCACAACCTGAACACACCCATGTGACCACATCCAGATCCAAACATGGAACATTCCCAGGCTCCCCCAGACCCTGTGGCCCCTCTCCCAGTCCCTAGCCCTCTGGCAGGATTTTTAAATGAGATTTTTCTTAACAGTTGCACACGAAAAGTAGCGAAAGAGACAAAGTCTGGATCTCTTAAATAAGGAAATTTTTGGGGTCTAAACTTATCCTTCAAAAGCATTCTTACCCGTTTGTATCTCACTCTGGCATCATAGAAACGATTTTGGCGGAAAAGGTAGTTGCCGAACTCCCGTTCAGTAGCTGCCACTTTTAGGACCTTCTGAAGTGGAAACTCATCTTGTTGCTCCTGAGGATCAAAGACAAGGACACCCAGCAAGGAAACAAAGCCCCAGGGCCACAACGCCAGTGTCATTACAGCCAGCAGTTCTCCAGATCAGGAACTTCTGTTCACTGCTGCGTGTGGGCTAAGTGCCTCTGCAGAAGTCACCCGTGTGGATTCCAACAGCAGGTGGGTGTCCTTCCCGCCCCTGCTTTACACAATAGAGCTGAAAGGAAGCCTACGCCTTCAGTCCTAGAGATGCTCCCTAAAAGAGCAATTTCTCATGGAATTAGAAACTGATGGAACTTGACAAGCACAAGTCAGGTCTCACGACACCCACTTATCCAGCATGTATTTGAGAGGTCTTGGTCTGCCCGGGGCCCTGCTGCCCTTTGTGGCCCTGATGTGCTACCCTGGGTACATATTAGAGTCACCAGTAGAGCCTCCTTTTTAACAGGTGTCCTGGCCCCACCCCCAAAGATTCTAAATCAGGACACAAGAGGTGGGACTCAGGTTGTCTGCAAGAACCTCTTTTGTGGAAAGATGAGAAAAAGACCCCTCACTGGAGGGGATGACACTTTAGCTGGGGGGAACATCATACACAGATGTAAAACTGGGGGGACATCTAAGGCACACACTCAATGTGAGACAGTGTGACAAAGAGTACACATGACTGCTGGCGAGAAGCCCTCTCTTCGTGGGCTGAGAAAAGGCAGTTTTTAAGTTATGAGGACAGAGGCCATTTGTTCCAGTTTGCCTGGGATTGTCCCCATTTACACCTGATGTCCTGGTAGCCCACTCTGTTAATAGCTCCCTTCGCACTCAAGGGTCCTGGGTTGAACAATAAATCACACGGTCGCCCTAATTATGAGCTCTCAATGCTTGACTTGATGGAAACCCAACCGTGTTGAGAAGCAAACATTCACCATCTTTCAGGGAGAACCCAAGTTCACCTGCTGGTCCATAACAAACCCTTGGCCTACACATGCACCCACACACAAGAGCCACTACTGAGACAGACACGCTAGGAAGTGGCGGGACCCCCTCCCCCCACAGGAGCCTCCAGTGGAACCCGGGGGGGAGGATCAGCAGGCGGAGGGTAAGATAATTACCAAAACCACAAACTCCTCCCTACTGAGTGCCGACACCTGTGCCCCAGAACTTACGGCTGAAAGGGCACAAAACTTGTCTGACTCAGCAGAGTCCAGGAAGTCAAGGAGCTCGATCTCAAACAAGACGGTGGTGTTTGGGGGGATGAGGGGAGGACAGCCCAGCGTCCCATAGGCATAGGTCGGTGTGAACAGAAACCTGGCCAGCTCTCCTTTCCGCATGCTCAGAAGGCCCAGTTCCATGCCCCAAAGTGTGATATCTGGAAGGGACCAAAGAAAAAAAAAAAAGAAAGAAAAAAGAAAAAGAAAAAAGAAAGAAAAAAGTGGTGGAAGCTTACCCCATATCCTCTTTCAATGCTATCAATTTCTTCCCCTTTCAAATCAAATCTTTCTGCATGGTATCCCAAGCCTTCTGCATTGTGGGCCCAACTCACTTTTCAGCCTTGTTTCTCATTGCCACCACCTTTCCCAGACCCTAACTTTCCCAGGCTCTGCAGCATTCTGGCCTCTACCTCTCGGTTCATGCAGCTCCTTCCTACAACGTTGTTCTCCTTCCCCAGGGGAGCTTGGCTTCTACTCTGAGTGAACTCTTAGTCAACTTCAAGGCTCACTTCAAATGCCCTCTCTTCCATGAAGTCTTCCCTGATCTTCCGAGTTTGAATTAATCGTGCCTTCATTAAATACTCCCACAAAACACTGCTTATACCTCCCAGGGATTCCATCAGGTTAACTGTCTGAAGTGTGTCAATCTCTACCACATTGGCCTTAGACCTTTCTTTTTTCAAGTTTTACTTATCTTTTTAATTTTTATTCATTTATTTTTAATTTTGGGGGGGAGATAATCAGGTTTATTCACTTTTATTTATTCTTTAACAAAGGTACTGGGGATTAAATCCAGGGCCTCGTGCAGGCTAAGCATGCACTCCCACTGAGCTACACTCTCCACCTGCTGACCCCAGACCTTCTAATCAACTGAGTACCTCTCTTTTCACCATGCATTGTGGGCAGTAAACATTCAATAGGTGTTTACTCAATAAGCAAACCAAGAAAAATGCAGTACCCAACGATAAAGTCAGGATGCAAAGATAATCTTGCCAGGTAGGCCATTTCCCAAAGAGCTAGGTCTCATGGAGGAATGTGGGAGAAAATATGGCTGGTTTAGCCAAACCCAACCTCAGAAAAACCAACTCAGAGAATCTGGGCTCTGGGCAGTTTTCCAGTGCCAAGGCGTTGCCCTCACCAGTTCCTGAGAACAATCGCTTCTTTTCCAGCCCCTTATCTGAACTCACCCTCTCCAAGTTTCATGAGCCGAAGAGTTTTCCTAAAGCAATTAGAATCAAAAGGCTTGTCCATGTGCTCCAGATATCCAGAATATTTCACTAGGACAAAAGAGACAGTGTGAGGAAAATGGACCAAAGACACCCATGCCTCCATGTCAAATCTCTTTAACTGTCACAGAAAAATAATGGAAGTACCAGCTGCCCTTAAACTGCCCCACACCCCAAGAGATAGGATAATTATTTATGTAACATTTGGATACCTGCCCTTTGGCTCTGAGGTTCAAGAGCTGGGCTGGTGGCCCCCGGAGAGCCCCTTGTTCACACAGGCCTCAGGCAAAGGGGAAATGGGTTCCCTCGCTTTCTCTTAAAAACCTGAATTCTAACAAAATTCATTTTTTTAACGTGGCCCCCCAAAGTAAAGTGCAGTGCAAAGCCTGCTGCCCGAGGAACCACCAGCACTTCGGCATCGCCAGCTTCCCGAGGGCAAATGGCGCCTGAGGCCTCAGGCCTTACCGAGCACCGAAGCGTCGGGTGTCACCAGCTCTCCAGCGCCCTCTCGGATGACGTCCTTCAGCACGCCCCGGTCCCCGGAAATGTCCAGCATCCTCTGACTTAACCGCTGGTACGGAGACTTGTGGGGAATGAAACACAAGATCTCAGAGCCCCCGGCCGGCACCCCGCCTCTGGCGGCCCCGGCTCCTGACTCCTGAGCGCCCAGGCCCTCACCTGGGTGGAGGCGTCCTCCCTTTGCTGGGCTCCCGGGTTCCTGTGTGCCGCCTGCCCCGCGGCCCCACCACCCTCCCACTGGTGGCGACACGGGGGCCCCTTTGTACCTGGCTGTCCGTGCCCGAAGGTGGCATTCCGTTCAGGGGCCGCGAGAAGGTGCTCATCACTGCGCTCCAACCGCAGCCAACCGCCCTCAGGCCG